ATTTTCCAGCACCGTATCATTTGACATATTTAATATCCAGGAAAGTATCCATCTGTTTTGAATATAGTCAATGACTGAGCCTCCACAGACCTCTAGGTTAGAGAATTATAAAGAATCAAAACACTCAGGGAAGAAAATCCACACCTCAGTCCTAAATGGCCTTCCTCTTATACTATGTCCCCTGCTTCTGGGTCCCTCCAGTCAGGGAAAATATCCATCTTGCATCTAACCTGTCAAGCCCTGTAAGAATTTAGTTTTTTTTCTTGTATGAAATCATCTTCTCATCTTGAGAATATATGCAGAGTCTCCACATTCTCATCTTGTAGAACAAACCCGATATCCTTCAGCCCATTACCTCTACGCAAGTATATCCTTCCTTAGTTAAAGAGACAAAACGTGCCGTTGAATTAATTCAGAAAACAACTGAGGCATAAAGAGTAGTATAAAGTCACTTCACATTTGCCTGCTCAAGGGAAAGACCAAGTTACACATTTCCCAGGAGTGGTATATCACATTGTACATTACCTGATATAATACTCTCTGTCAAACATTGTAACATATGATTTACTTTGAGCAATGGTAAGAAATATCCACTATTATATGAACTAAATTTTATTTTATTAAACTCATTCATGGGATCTGGACATCACTGAACAGGCCGATTAATTATTGCCCATCTCTAACGGTACTTCAGAAATTGGCAGTAAGCCACTTTCTTGAACCACTGCAGGCCACAGGGGATCTAGGGCACAAAAATGGTATTAGGAATGGAGTTCCAGGATTTTGACCCAGTGACAGTGAATTAACAGTGATTTTGTTACAAGTCAGGATGGTGTGTGGGTTGGAGGGGAAGTTGGAGATGATAACATTCCCATGCATATGCTGCGCTTGTCCTTCTAGATGGTACAGATTGCAAGTTTGGAAGGTGTTGTCATTGCGCCTTATAGATGATGCACGCAGCTACCACAGTGTGTCAGTGGTGAAGGAAAGGAGTGTTTATGATGGTGGATGGAGTTCCAATTGTGAAAGCTGGATGAAGTCAATTGGCTTGAAGCTACGAGATAAGAATATGAAAACTGTGCATATATTCTCTCAAAAGAGAGAAAGAATTCAATGTCATCAGAAGACATGAGAGAAAAGGAAGTAAATGAGGGTGGAAGCACAACTGCGCTAAGTAACTTCAGTAAATATTATATTACTGTATAAGAAAAGAACAAGAGAGAAGGACTTCTACAGGGTGCTCTCATATGCCTTAAAAGGGCTGGTTCAAAAGTGTATTTGACATCAAACCATCTTTCCACTGCTGACAAGTGAGGAAATAAACGACAAAATAAATACAAAATAAATTGAGCAAAATGAAAAACTCAGTGCTGACTATAAAGCAGTATAAAATATTGGAAAATTATCCTTAACACTTGCAACCACTTACAAAAATAGCATTAGAATGATTATAATTATTTTGCGGCCAGAGTAGAGAAATATCTCATCAGTTACGGATACTTTCCATCTCTGCAGATTCTCAGTCGTTGATGATTACACTAAGAAACAAAACAAAATAAGAAATTGAAATCATCCTTCAGCTACCATACATATTTACTCATGGAAATTATTTTAATATTTTAAATAACCTATACGAGGACTAGAAGCAATCATTATTTGGTAAAGGAGTTGGGTTAGATTCTCAGTTATTGCCCTCAAACTAATTTCCATGATAATAAAACAAAGAACTGCAAATGCTGAAGATCTGAAACGAAAAACAATAATTGCTAGAGAAACTCAGCAGGTCTGACAGCATACGTAGAGAGAAAGCAGAGTTAACATTTCAAGTCCAATGACTCTTCTTCAGAATAGACACGAATCACAGAATCGTTTCAGTGCAGAAGACTCAAAATGTTAACTGCTTTCTCTCCACAGATGCTGCCAGACCTGCTGAGTTTCTCCAGTAATTTCTGTTCTGTTTCAAATTTCCATGATATTTTTGGTGAGTGATAGAATCATGGAATCATTAAAGAATCCTTTTAAAGGACAATACACATGTTCCTGAGATAATAAAACACTGTCAGCTACTCGGGGTAAAATGTTTAATTAACTTAAATTGTGAACCATGATGAGTAACTCTGAACTCCTAAAATTTGCCCGACTGCTTTAGAGAATGGAGAAATCATTAAGATCTGTGTAAATTGGTCTCAGGTCCGTTTTCTCCTCCTCATTTTTTGTGTTGCCCTCGAGATGACAATGCAATCATTACAGAAGGAATGTTCAGTGTGCAAGGTCACATTGCCCACTGAATAGAACAAACTTTAATGGGTTAAATGGTCTCATTCCATTCCTTCAGTGGAGTCAATAAATTTTATCCCTGTATCTAATCACATAATGGAGTAGTTTCTCAGAATTTTTCAATTAATTCAGACTATTTTAATACTTTATAAATTCTATTAAAATATAGCCATTTTTAAAAAATAACTTTCCTCTTGCGTTCTTAGTTTTGAAATCAAAATTTATTTCAATGTCTTCTCAGGGCCTCAAAACTGTAGAACAATAGTTTCCTTCATTCTCTTTCCTCACAACAAACAAGTTTCACAAAATCAATGTCACCGAATAACCACTGACATAGGGAATCTTCCCTCATACTGTCATTAGTCTTGGTGTTGCACAGCATTGTGCCTTGTAGCCTTTAACAAAGGTTTTTCCGTAACAAAAAAAACACTTTCATGATGACTCAGTTCACATTATTATTTTGATCAGAATAACATAGACTTGAAAGATCTGAATTCATACTTTCTCAATTTCAAGTTAGCTTATCATAACTAGAAAAGCAAATGGACCCAAAAAGAGGATAACCAACTAGTCAAGAATGCACACTCCTGATGTCTATCTGGCATTCCCTAATGAATGTTGGTCTATTAAAGAAATGTGCTTAGTTTCAATGCTATTAAAACCTGCTTATATGAACTAATCAATCTTTAATATGAAGATTGGTCACTTACTTAGTTGTTGGAGGCGTGCACTAGACAAAATTATGAAACTGAAAGAATCAATACTTTTATATGAGGGAAGGGTGGATTAGATTCAAATTGGCAGGAGACACTTCAAATTTCAATATCACTCTCAAACCTATATCAAAATTTATATTAATGAGATTTACATAATTAAATGCATTTAGACTAACATCTAAAAATCGACAAGGACATATTGTTCTCCCTCACCTCGAGAAACTTATCAAACCCACAGTGTATAGAACCAGTTCAAAAACGTAAAACACCAATAATATTGCATTGATGGTCACTTCCAACTTCAGAACGTAGGTCTGGAGCAGCATATAATAAACAGCCATTATTGTAGATGGTCCAACAAGCAGCAGGCTAATGGTGAGAGGTACCTTACGCTGGCACAGATTCCCCTTGGAACCTAAGGGGGAATTAACAGGAACGTTAGATGAAATTTAACAAGATTACCCCTTATCTTAAAAGTGCTGAATACTTGCTATGAGTTCAAGCATCTCTGTTACACCACATTATCCTGAAAGGTTAAAGCTGCTTGACTCCTGAGCTATAGAAGTCATCTGTCCTCATCTGATAAGTACTCTCTCAGCACTTTCAGTCCATGCCACCTTAATTGCCTATGCTGCTCCCTTCTCAATCTAATGTGTTCCACATAAGACAATAAATAAAATCTTATCAAGCCTCTCTGCAGGTAAACTGCTTCTTTCCCGTCAAGATGAGTCACTCAGTTCACACTGTGATGACACTGTGGCTTTAAGAGGTGTATTTTGTCCTGGTTTTTTTGTGAAGAGAGGTTTTAAGATAGAGCTGTGGAGCTCTCTATTTTAATCCAATAAAGTGAACAACTTTACTTGGTTTTATTAAAGTTGGAACGATAGAAGTAGCCTGAATGGGTGGGATCAAGCTCCCCCAGAGCCAGGAATTTTACTTTCTCAGTGGCGGTTGGGTTTGGAAGTTGTAGTACATCACTCCCTGCTTCTCTCACTCTCACTCTCTGAGATTTTGTTGTTGATGTTTTATCGTGAGACAATCTATTCTACTGACATTGTCTTTGCCAAGAGTATGTTTATGGCATGTTACTATGTTGGAACAGTTACAGTTTTGTAGTTAAATAGTCCAATATTCTGTTAAGTTTTCCAATGGAGTTGTTATTCCAATTTCTTTTTTTATTGTATTTTAACTATAGTGTATGAATAAAATGTGTTTTACTTCAAGACCACAAGTTTGACCAATCAAATTGCATCTGAAACACAACATCTGGTCCTTGCCTCTAAAATAAGAAGTAGTTGAGGTTTAGGCTATCTTCTTAACATACTTTGAGGGGGTTTGGTCCAGTCCATAACAACACTCTACCATGTTCTAGTTTTATTCTAACACAAAAGCTTCCCTTTTCTTCTGGCTCCTTCTCTACATATCAATTCCTCACCGATTTTGAAAATATTTTTCATTTCTTGCTCACAGGCACCTTCGACAGATTTTTCTGTAGATACAGAGACCAAGGCAAGATACAAGACAGCTTGACTGGAAGATTTCAGCCAACAGAAAAATATATTTTTATGGTCTTCAGAAACTTTTTCAGGTTCAATGGCATCAATTATTCCCATAAATAATCAGCTCTAATTAAATGATATTGGCCTGCACCATTAACTGCTCTCTGTATCCGCAGATACTGCCTGAACTGTTGAGTTTCTTCAGCATTTTCTGTTTTTGTTTACTTTAGATTTAGGTTTTATTGTCACGTGTACTCAAGTACAGGGTACAGGAGTACAGTTAAAAGTGTACAATGCCACCATTCCCAGTGCCATCTTAGGTACAAAAGGTACATAGGTACAAGATCTCAGGTCCAATAATGTAAAAATAAAGATGCAAGTTAAAAAGTTCAACTTAGTATAAGTTCTTCTTAGTATAAAGTAGAAAAATAAAGAAGTTAAAAGTTAAAAGTTAAACATTGCAATTCTTTCTTAAGCCAAGGGCCTGCAGACGCTCCCCATGAGGGCTCGTTCTTCCCCGCACTGGGCATGCTTTCACCTGTGCTGGGTGAAATTCGCCTAGGTTTGCCAGACGCTATGCTGCCAACTGCCACTGACCAACATCCAGGCTCACCAGGCTTCTCCACCCATCTCCCATCTTTGTTTTGTCATAAACTTTATTAGATCTGACACACCTGAACATGAACTTATCACTTGTTTCTGTCAATTCTGATCCCAGAATATGAAATCCAACCAGACAATCTCAGAAACTACTAACTGACTAGCACTGCTGCCTCACAGCACCAGGGCCTGCGGTTCAATTCCAGCCTTGGGTGACTGTCTGTGTGGAGTTTTCACATTCTCCTGTGTCTGCGTGGGCTTCCTGTGGGTGCTCTGGTTTCCTCCCACAATTCAAAGATGTGCAGATTAGGTGGATTGGCCATGCTAAATTGTCCATAGTGTCCAGGGATGTGCAGGCTATATGGGTTAGCCAGGGTAAATGTGGGGTTACGGGGATAGGGTGGGGTCTGGGTGGGATGCCCTTTGGAGGGTTGGTGTGCATTCGATGGGTTGAATAGCCTCTTTCCACACTTCAGGGATTCTATGATTCTATGACTGAAACATAGCCAGTCATCTCAACCAGAATGAAGGATTACACAAAGTTCCAAAATAACTTTTATTATCTGAAGCATTTGACTGCATTAAGGATGCAAAGGTAGGTCAAGTTTTAGCTTCGTTACGGAAAGTAAAAAATTAAAAATTCACATTTCTCTAGTTTTTTTTTTACAATTTTAGTACAATTCAAAGCTAATTAAATGCTCCTTCAGTGTAGTTATTATTATAATGATGGAAACACATCAAACAATTGGTTCACAGCCAGAATCCTCAAACTACAATGCATTAACAAACAGATTTTTAAAAGATCCTGGTTGAGAATTGAGAGGAACTCCTCTGCTAATCTTTGAAAAATAATCATACAGCATCTTTTATGTTCACCTAAGAGGTGACTCAATTTAACATATAGCATATATCACTGCACTGAAATGTCAAACTGGATTACAGAGGCCAAGTTTCTGGAATAGGAATTGAACCATTAACCTTCTTACCCAAAAGCAAGAATGTGTACAAAAACCATGGCATGATTCAGATGCACCACGAGACTAGTATCTCAGGATTAAAGTGTTCTTAACTTGGCACAATTTGGGATAAACCTAAGCCCAAACACAAAATAGTTAAAACGTCAACATCAGGAAATGAGATAAAGAAGAAAACAAGTTGACTGGGTGGGGGCCGGTAGATGAGAGGACAATTATATTTAAACTTCAATAGAAAGCCAAGCTCAAGTTGATTTTAATGTCCTATCTTCAAATTCATCAACAGCCTTGCTATGCTACATCTCAGCTATCTCTTCTAGCTGGACATCCTCATGAGAAGCTTCTATTTCTCTGAAACCAGCATTCCCTTGTTCCTTGTGCCCTGCTGTCTCTATGTCAGTAATCTTCAGTCTCCCAAACACTATTGTCCCTGCCTTTAGGGACTCTTGTCCTCAATAATATTATCTTCATTTTCAACTTTCAAAAGGCTTCACAACTTTTGACAAAGCAATTGAGCTCCCAGCCCTGCTCTTCTCTTCAAGCTTTGTGTTCACTCTTCTTGCCCACTGCTACGTAAATTGCTCTGAGATGTTTCTGCTACAGAAATAGAATTGCTACTGCAGGCAGTACCTTCACCCACTAACCTCCGGTGAGAGCTTTAAGCATGTTAAAAATTGCATACATTTTCACTTATGTAATTTGGTTAATGCTTGTGAAGCACCCGAGACATTTTACATTAATAGCACCGTATAAATGCAAATTGTTTTTTGTACAAAATTTCAAAATTCACTTGTAACAATAACGACTTGTATTCATAAAGCATCTTTCACATCGTAAAACAGTCCAAGATGGCTTCACTGGAGTGTTATAAAGCAAACCACTGTATCACCATAAGGAGATATTTTGTTTTTGGTCATTCAGCCTGAGGAGAAGAAGATTTTAAGAAGCATCTTAAACGAGGAGACAGCCGGAGAAGTTTAGAAAGAAATTCAAGAACTTAAGGTCTTGGCAGGTGAAGATACAGCAATCAGTATGGAACAATTAAAATTAAAGATGATCAAAAAGATAGAATTAGAGGGGCACAGATACATTGGAGTTTGTAGAGATGAAGGAAATTGCACACATAGGGAGGATGAAACAATTGAAGCTATCTGAAAACAAGGATAAGAAAATTAAAATCCAAAATGTTGCTTAACAGGGGTCAATTTAGATCAGCAAGCATGAATGATGGGTAAAAAGGAATTGATTAGAGTTGGACATGTCGTCGAGTTTTGGATGGCTTTTGGTTTATGGAAGGTAGAATGTGAGAGACCAGCGAGGAGCACTTTTGGATACTCAAGTCTGAAGGTTAAAAGAAACATATGGAGATGGATTTCAACAAATGAGCTGGCAGGGACAATGCCATGGAGATAGAAACAGAAAATCTTAATGATGTCATGAATTATGAAGATAGAAGTGCATCTTGGGGTCAAATATGACAGCAAGGTTGCAAATGATCTGGTTTATTCTCAGATAATTGCCTGGGAGATGGGGAGTTGGTAGCTAGGGAATGCAGTTAGCAGCAATGACTGATGACAATCACTTTGGTCTTCACGATATTTAAGTAGAGAGAAATTCTGCTCATCCGGTACTGGATGTCAAGTAAGTAGTTTGACAACTTAGAAACAGTGGAAAGTTTGAGAAAGGTGATGCGTTATGTATCATGTTCAATAAACCATCAAGGTACAAACTCATGATATTATCAGAGCATGCAACCTGATAGTACAACAATCTCAGATTTTATGTTAACTGGGGTCACTTGAAACATGACATGCTAATGGAAGCATGCTCTTCTGCTGTAAGCAAATGGCCTATTACCACCCCAGCCACCAATGTATCTGTGAATGTAACAATTGTGTATAATGGTACAGAAGCAGGAATAGAACCATTGCAAGTGATACGCTGGCTACAGTTGGATAGCTGAGCCGCCAGTTTTTTTTTTATTCATTCACGGGATGAGGGTATTGCTAGTTAGGCAGCAATTATTGCCCATCCCTAATTTCCCAGAAGGCTGTGGGTCTTAGGCCAGACCAGGTAAGGTGGCAGTTTCCTTCCCTGAAGGACATCAGTTAACCAGATGGGTGTTTCCTCACAATCAACAATGGATTCACAGTAATCCCAGATACTTATTGAATTCCAATTGCATCATCTGCTGTGGCGAGATTCGAACCCAGATCCCCAGACCACTCTCTGGGTCTCTGGATTAACAGTCCAGTGACAATACCACTAGGCCATCACCTCCCCTAGGTAATACAGTCACATTCAACAGGATTGTTTCTTGAAGAGACATTGGAAGAGGATGTGTGAAATCAAGTCAAAGACTTGGCAAAGATCCAAGCTTAAGAAGATGAGAAAAGGTAGTTTAACCTTTGTCGAGTCACATAGGATGTCCTTTGAGACTTTCGTAAAAACCCATTTTGTATTGTGGCAGGGAGTGGAAATCTAGCAAGGATTCAAACATAGATGTACCAGGATTTAGGAGGCAACAATACATTCATGGACTTTGGGGAGGGAAGAAAGGCTGGAGATGGAAGAACAGAGGGATCAAGAATTTTTTTTTCCACCAAGAAGAGTGATGATGACAAATTTGAAGGAGGAGGGGACACAACCTGACAAGAGAGAACTGTAACAATATCAGCAAACATGGGGATCAAGAAAGAAGTTAGGATGATCAGCAGTTTCATGGAAATCAGGCCAAAGTGGCAAGAAATGGGTACAAAAACAGAATACAAGAGTAAATACAGGAAATGCAAGTTTAAGGCTAGGGTGGAGGGAACCTGGAGAAAGTTTGTCCTCATGATGTAGGGAAAGGTTGTGGGGGGTGGGGGGGGGGCGACAACACAGAAACCCATTGGATGGTCTCAAACATGGCAGCAAAGAAATCCATGACCTCATTGCACTTGTTATAGGAGGTAAAGGAGGAAGATGAGACAGGGAAGAACAGTTTAAGATTTGCAGTCAAGAAAATTAACTGGGATAGTCCAGCGAGAGACACTAATGGTTTCATGGAAACTAGGACATCAAAAGTAGGTCAAATGTTTGTTTAAGCAGAGTTGTAACTTTGGAAATGTTACATAGAACAGACAGTCAAAGATTAGGCAGTGGGATTTTCAAAGTGCTGTTGGAAATGAATTAGGAGGGTGAATCTTCCCAGAAGCAGCCACAGAAGGAAGTATGATTGAATGGGTGGGTGGATGGAGGAGGTACATAAGTATTAAGAATATTGATCAGCAATGCCCTTATCTTTGACTGGCCATGTGTGATGTTAATGTCAAGGAGATTGTCATGAATAAATGGAGGGAGCGATGAAGGAAGGATAGCGGGGCAGTTAACTGAGAGACACAACATAATGAAATGAAAATAATTCATCAAGGATGAGAAGTTATTTTGTGCAGAGGCTGGGAAGAACAGCAATGAAGAAATCCAGGTGGGGAAAATAACTGTGGTATTTAGGTGCATGGTAAAGAATGAGGATTTGAATGTCAGATTAGAAAGGTAGGGGGGCAAAAAAGCACGATATTCCTAGAAGCAGAAAGTAACAAGAGTTGGGGGACAGATCAAGGTTTGACTTTGTGGTGAGAACTACATTGCCTGTTGTGTGGTCACTTACCAAAAAATATTCTCATTATTTCAACTCCAAGGTACAGAAACAGCATCACTAGATCCAAAGTCAGATTTGCAGAGGTATATGGTAACAGCTGACCTACAATATACAGAGCAGAAAATATTACAAGCAGTGGAAAATAATGACTTATGCACATTGTTTGTATAGGATAAGACCAGACACTGCCACAGCAAAAACATATCAACAATAGATATTTTCCAAACAAGCTGTTCAAATATATTATTACACACTTGTGGAGCAGATGAGGTTTGAAGCCATGCTTCCTAGCCCAGAGGTAGATACACTACCACTGTCCCAAAACTACCCGAGCATTTTAATGATATAAACTTTTGGTGTTACAGATGAAGACAGATAGGACAGAGAAAGGGTATTTATGGAGGGGCTTATCATGAATTGTCCTCACCCTTTAGAATAATCCTGGACTAGTAGGAAGATTTGTAATTATTTTTAGTAACCTGCTTAAATGTTACGACGTATCTCCAGAGTACATCGGACTCAAATCCTTCTAGCCCAGAGGTAGGTACTCTGCCACTGCGCCACAAGACCCCTCAGATTCTAAAGAGATCTCAGCTTAGTCATTTTAATCAACCTCTTCAGACCAATGTAACATACCTCTAGGGCAGATAGGCTTGACTCTGGGCCTCATGGCTCAGGGGCAGGGACACCACTGTTGCACCACTAGCCCCCTTGCATATTAGCAATAGATAACATCTCTGAATGGGTTGTTTAGAATTTATTACTCACCTCTGGGCAGGTGGGACTTGAATCAAGGCCTCCTGGCCAAGAGGCAGGGACACTGCCAGCGCACCACCAGAACCCATATATATTAAAAAGGCTGAGTACCTCCCCTTTCCTCCCCCTATTCCAGCTTCATGTTAATCTCCGGAGCAAATGATATTGAACCCAGGTCTCTTGCTCTACAGACCCCTTACTGCCAGGTGGAGTTCAGAGTAAGCAAGTGTGAGGTTCCCCATTTTGAACCAAAAAAAGGATAGATCAGGGTACTTACAACATGACATGAAGTTAGAAAAAGTGGAGGCCAAAGGAGCATGGGGTTCAGGTGCATTGATCATTAAGATGTCACAAACAGGTGCAGAACATAATCAAGAAAGCTAACAGAATGCTGGCTTTTATATCTAGGTGACTTCAGTATAAGGATGTAAAAGCTATGCTGCAGTTGTACAAAACCCTGGTTAGACCTCACTTGGAATACAGTGAGCAAATCTGGGCATCACACCTTAGGGAGGATACATTGGCTTTGCAGGGAGTACAACGTAGGTTTACAAGATTCCTGTCTGGACTTCAGGGGTTAACTCGTGAGGAGAGATTATACAATCTAGCCTGTTTTCTCTAGAGTTTAGAAGATTAAGGGCCAAAGTCTTCAAGATATTAACAGGAAAAGACAGGACGAATAAAAATAAACTATTTCCAATGGTTGGGGATTCTAGAATTAGGGGGCATAGTCTAAAAATCAGGGCTAGACCATTCAGGAGATGTTAGGAAGCATTTCTAGATGTCAGAAGCACTTCTACACTCAAAGTGTGACAGATGTTTGTTCCACAAATGGCAGTAGGTGCTAGATCAGTTGTTAATTTTAAATCTGAGTTAGCTTGTTTTTGTTGGGCAAAGGTATTAAGGGATATGGGCTAAAGGCAAGTATATGAATTTAGGCCATAATCAGCCATGATCTCATTGAATGGCAGAACAGGCTCAAGGGGCTGAATGGCCTACTACTGTTCCTATGCTCCTAACCAGCTTTTAAAAAGAAATGTTTCTAATGAACCTGTTCAGAGATTATGCATCTGTGAAGCAGGTCGGACTTGAACCCAGGTCAGGTGGCCCAGAGGCAGGGAGACTACCACTGCACCACAACAGCCCTGTAGCATAATAACGACATTCTTCCACCAAAGGACATGCCATTTTGAACTTCCAGATATTGTTAAACCAACCTGTTCAGACATATTGTTATGCACCTTTAGAGCATGTGGGACCTCAACCCACACCCTCTGGCTCAGTGTAGAATTACTAGCACTGCATCACAAGAACCTTGTAGCATATTAATGATACACAAAAACATCAAATATATAACAGCAGTTACCAATGTAGGCAGTCTGTCTATGGTGCAGTGGTCCTTACCTTTGAGCCAGGGGCCCGGGTTCAAGTTCCAACTGCTCCAGAGGTATGCAATAACAATGCTGAACAAGTTGTTTGAAAAATATCTAAGAGAATGGGAAATGCATTTGTTATAAGGGCCCAATTCTTTATATCTGGACCAGAATCTATACTTTGGTACCAAATCAGATGAAATGTCACACATAAGAAACTGTGCAATGTCAGGCGTGTCTTCCAATGCTGCACAAATCTCCAAGCGCAGAAATCATCTCAGAGGAGAGTGCAGGAAATCCTACTGGAAGCCATACCTCCTTTTTATTTACTTAAATATAGTAGACACGGCCATATAGTTTAGAGATTAAAAGCCTCTTTCAAACACAGTGGAGGTCCTACAGTGGCAAGTGAGTGAGGTAGATAGGCAAGGTGCTGGGTTGGGAGGTGGGGGAACAGGTTGGGGTTCAGTTGTATAATTATCCAGGAGCTGGAATACGTTTTAATCCTCAAGCTACTTTTCCTAGCTACAATCAGTTCTGAAGAAGGGTCACTGACCCGATAGGCTAATTCTTCTTTCTCTCCACAGGTACTGCCATAGTTCTTTCAGCAATTTCTGTTTTTTATTTGTTTAATCCTCTTCACATTTCCCAGACTGCACAGGTAAGTCAGTTGGAACCCTCCAAAGTCTTCAACTCCAACTCAGAGCTGGGAGACTTTTCAGTTTGTTCCACATGCCGGGTTTAAATTTCCAAGGCAACCAGCTTATACTGTAAACTGACTCAGGATTTTCCAAAGGGTCCAGACGTGCGTATTTTAGAGTAAATCCAGTCCCTGGCTCTCCGGAGACTGCAAGATCTGTGCTCGTAGCTCTCCATATATGTTGGAACATAAATTGTTTGAAAGACTATCTGGGAAAACACGTCCAGAGCATGCTACAGGCCAATTAATTATCTCTGGATAAATGCAAAAGTCATTTTAGGAGATGATCAGTTTCAATCAGACAGTTTTATAAATTATCCAATAGGCTTGGTTACAAATCACTCAGAATTTAGCAGTAGATAAATTTGAGGTCAGTTCAGAAAAAGAGGCTGCTAACTCATGAAAGGTTTAAACAAAGAATTCATTTCTGTCTGTTCCAAGAATGAGTTTCTTTTCAGAATTTTCAAAGGAGACCATTCAGCCTATCTAGTCCACACCATCCCTCCAAAACGCATCCTACCCAGACCCAGCTGTCTACCCTATCCCTGTAACACTGCATTTGCCATGGCTAATCCACCTAATCCACACATCCATGGACACTATGGGGACAGTGGTTGGTTTGCTCGCCGAGCTGATTCTTTAGTTCTCAGACATTTCATTACCCTGCTGGGTATCATCATCAGAGCAGCCTCCGATGAAGCGCTGTTGTGTTTTCCCGCCTGGTGTTTAAACTTTGGGGTCCGCTGGATTTAATTACCTCGTTTCTGGTTTTTCTTCGCAGTGGTGTGTATATAGAGTCTGATTCTACACGTTTATTGATGGCCTTCTTGATGGAGAACCAAGCCTAAAGAAATTCCCGTACTTGTCTCTGTTTGGCTTGTCCTAGGATCCTGATGTTGTGAGTGAGTATTGAGCGTGTCTTTTTGTTGCTAGTTTGTGTTCACGTATTCTTGTGGCCGGTTTCCTTCCTGTCTGTCCAATGTAATGTTTGTCCAGTCCTTGAATGGAATCTTGTATATCACATTGGTTCTGTCCATTGTGGGTAAGGGGTCTTTGGTTTGAGTTAGCAGTTGGCACAGAGTTGACGTAGGTTTGTGTGCTACTCTGATGCCCAATGGTCATAGGAGTCTTGTGGTCAGTTTGGATATGTTCTTGATGTATGGTAACGTGACGAGTAAGTCAGGGCGTACTGTATCTTCCTGTTATTGTTTGTGTGATAGGCATCATTAGACCCAGCTGTTCGGGTATCCATTGTCCTTAAATACTTGGTCGAGGTATTCTTCTTCGTTTAGGCATAGTTCAGGGTTGCTGCAGAGTGTTATCACTTGTTTAAATAGTGTTTTCACGCAACTTTGGTTGTGAGTGTTTAAATACCAGGCGGGAAAACACAACATTGCTTCATCATCTGCAAACTAAAGAACCAGCTCAGTGAGCAAACCAACCACAGCACCCACAAATCAAGCTACAAATCTATTCAAGAACCTTACACCATGGGGGCAATTTAGCATAGCCAATCCACCTAACCTGCACATCTTTGGACTCTGGGAGGAAACCAGAGCACCCACAAGAAACCCAAACAGACTCGGGGAGAATGTGCAAATTCCACACAGACAGTCATCCAAGAGTCAAACTTGGATCTCTGGTGCTGTGAGGAACCAGTGAAAACCACTGAGCCACTGTAGTCATTTACTAGCCTAAATCTCTTCGGCTTTCTTTCTCTCCCCTCTTTTGAAATCACTCCTTATGACTTGATAAAATATCTATCTATATAGTTGATATAGTCCAATGTCAAATTTGTCTCAAATATTTTGAAACACCATGAAACATTTTATTATGTTAAAGCAATTAATTAATACAAGTTTTGTTGTTGTTGAATCCTATGGTACCTTCAGAAACTGACCCGTAAGAATTAAGCATTTCACATGGACAATGAACAACTAGCTCCATAACACATGCAGTGAAGCATATTGATGGTTCCTGTGCTCAATCTGATGGAACTATCCTGACAGATGAGTGTTAAAACCTGGTAGACCAGTTATATCAGGCACTTGGATGAGACAACCTTATCTATGTAAATTTTCTATCCTCTTCTCTCCTAAAACTATTGATTTGACAGGCCTAGACTAATGTGCACTATCTAATACCTCATCCTGATTTTATCACATCAAATTCTTAACTTCCTGTAAAAGGTTCGGGTCAATTGCAACAGCGCCACAACCAAATGTACTCTTAATATTGGACTCAAAACCTACTTTTGTATATGAAAAGAAGAATCTCTGCCACAAAGTACACTGCATAGTACCAGGTGTTCAGGAACAGCAGAACTTCCAGCGGAGTTAAGGAGAGCTGATGTAAAACATTAAGGAACCAATACACATACAAATCTTCACGATTGCAGCTTTTTTTTTATTTCGTAAGACATTTAGTATTAGTCGAATAACCCAATGATTAGAGCTGATAAGATTTCTGATTACAAGGCTAACAATTCAGGTGTGGGTTGTTTTGTGCTGTGGTCTAATTCAAAGAGGGTTGAAGAACCTAAAGTTTTTGCTTTTCAAAAAAAAAAGTAGTGTTGTTTGGTAGAAAGCCTGCCTTTCCATAACTTTCCCACACTCAACTCCTGTTCCCCTTCACACACTCCTAGTCCAGAACTCTCAGCCATTATTCAAACCCTCAATTTCGTCTTCTGCATGCATTCTCAAAAGAGTAAATTTTGCGCAACTTTAATTTACAAAAGGATACAACGGGAGGAGCCTTTCCTGCAATAAAAAGCATAAATCATTTAAAAAAACTGTTGCAAATATGTTCCTAGAACTGTTTAAATTTGAAAACACACCATTTGACCTAGCACTGAGTCAGACAAACCATGAAGGCCCAGAGTTGATCAAGCCAAGCACCTCTAAAAATGCTCCAATCAATATTTGGAGAGGAAGAAATCAGCTGCTCTTAAAGATGTTTTAGCTCTCCATTAAGAGTAAGAGAATAACTAATGAAGGAATAGAGTCCATAAAAGATCAAAAAGGAAACTTAGGTATAGAAAGGGAAGATGTTGGTATGGTCTTAATGAATACTTTGCATCCATCTTCACAAAAGAGGGTGACAATGCTGATATTGTAGTTAAGAAAAAGGAATGTGAAATATTGAACATGATAGACATCTTGAGAAAGGAAGTGTTAATGAAATCAGTGAAAGTGAAAGTGAAAATGACCAGGGCCATTTCAAACATATCCCAGACTGTTAAATAAAGCCAGGAAGGAACAGAAGATGTGACCATAATTTTCCAGTCCTCTCGACATACAGTAAGTTAGCAAATTCTTAGAATCGATTTTAAGAGACAGAATAAATTGTCAGTAAAGCATGGGTTTGTTATGGGAAGATCACATCTGACCAAAATATGAGTATTTTGAGGAAGTAACATGGGCAAATTGATGACATTAGTACAGTTGATACGGTCTACATGGATTTCAGCAATGCTTTTGACAAGGCTCCATATGGCAGACTGGTTAAAAAAAAAATTAAAGCCCATGGAATTAAGGAGAATGTGGCCACGTGGATAGCAAATTGGCACAGTGGCAGGAAGCAAAGGGTAATTGTTGATGGGAGTTTTTGACACTGGATGTTTCCAGTGGGACCTTGTAGAGATCTGTATGAGGTCCCCTGCTTTTTGTGGTATTTATGAATGATTTGGATCTAAATCTTGGTGGTTTTATCAAGAAATTTACAGACATCACAAAAATTGACTGCACTGAAGATGGTAAGGAGAATAGCTGTAAACCACATGAAGATATCAATAGATATCAACAGAATGGTTAGGTAGGCAGAAAAGCGGCAGATGGAATTCAATCCAGAGAAATTAGGTGATACATCTAGGGAGGTAACAAGCCAAAGGAATACACAATTAACAAGAGGATACCAAGAGGTGTAGACGAAGTGAGTGATCTTGTGAGTGAAAATAGACAGATCCCTGAAACTAGCAGGAGAGGTCAATAAGGTGGTTAAGGCAGCATCCGGAATCCTTTATTTTATTAGTTGAAATACATTGTACAAGTAGGGAAGCTATGCAAGAACCGATTAGTTAGGCCACAACTTGAGCACTATGTTTGGTTCTGGTTACTTCATTAAAAATAAAAAGGATGTTATTGTACTAAAAATAAGGATGGTCACCATAGTGTTACCAGATCATAGGGCTAGTGGTGGTATAACCTGAAGGCCACCACACCTCAGGGGAGAGTTTGAGAAAAACAGTCCCTCAGAAACCTCAGCTGGCGCAGGAACTAAACACAAACTGTTGGCATCACTCTGCATCGTAAACCAGGTGTCCATCCAACTGAGCTAACCAATTCCCCTCCTGCACTAGAGGGGGCAAGCATGTTGGGGGGAAACATCGCAATGGAATAGAGAGTGGGAAAATATGAAATTGTCCAGAAAGAGTCATTTGACCCAAAACATCAACTCTAATTTCTCTCTACAGATACTGCCAGACCTGCTGAGCTTTTCCAGCAATTTCTGTTTTTGTTTCTGAAATAAAAAAGTTAGTTATCTGAAGGTTGAGAGATTAGGGATCTCGGAGATGCAGAGGGATCTGGTTTTCTTCCTATATGAATCGCAGAAGTTTAGTATGCAGGTATAGCAAGTAATTAGGAAAACTAATCTTTCAATTATTCTAAATAATCACCATTTTAAAGAGTACCACATGAACAAAATCCAGGCAGCGCTATGCTGCTCATGGTAAGTATCGCCAGTACTCTTAGATAAGGTTCACACTTCAAATTTGCATCTACCTAAACATATTTTAGGACGGATTTAATTACTCATGCTTTTCCCCCTTCCTCGAAGCTGCCTGAACCTCTATCTGAAACCCCTCAAATCTCCTTTCTCCTCTGCTGCCATCAACCCGTACACCCACCTCTCGCCATTTTGCATTAACACAGCAACAGCTTCCAGCGTCTTTCCGTCACTTCCTGGTAACTAATCCCAAACGGAGCTGTGTTTATCTGCGGCACGCACCTTAAGGTGGGTACTTTTGAAAATCATACTGGGCAGAGTATAGGACCCTGCCACCTGGGAGATGACGAAATTGCTGTGTATTGCATTCAGATATTGAACGAGTGTATCTATTGTAAGACCTTTCCAAATGAAACAAAGCAACTGTAATATACAACCGCCTACTGAGTAACACATTAAAATGGCATATTACCTCCACTTGCCCTATTATAATATGACCAGACCAATATCAAAAGTACCTGAAATGTACCAGGTAGGTTGCATGCTTGCTTTCACTACATTCACAACTGAACACATACATGACCAATGTACCAAAAGTAATTTGCACGCAGACTGTTTTTTTCTTAACGAGTATATGTTTGACAAAATATCATTTGACAAGTTATTTTCTTCTTCCTTCCTAAATAAATGAACCAATCTCAATTATTTTTGAGTATCTTCTTTCATTCCCTTGGCTTCAGTCTAAACACATTCAACTATGCCAACTCTGAATTTGGACTTTAATTACCAATTCCACTTAATATTTTGAGACTGACCTTGATTGACTCATATTAATCCCAATTTATTTATTGTGGCACTGGTAAACTTTCATTTGCCTTCTGATCACTTTATTCTTGAATTTTACTTTGGTCTGAAGGTGGAATTTGGATTATGGGAGGTCCACCACACTATCCTTTTGTCAGATTTTGTTTTTCAAGCAAACGGTTTCTCCAAACCTCACTAGACATACGAATGTGACCAGTCTCTTTACAACAACTCCAAACACATACTTCATACTACTTCTTATCCCTTTGGTGGTTTTTAACCTTGACATGCACTGAATTTCATGCAAGATTTATCATTACTCATCTTCATTTTGTCTTGATTTGCTATTGACAGGAGATTTAAGCAAGTTAAATCTTGTCCTAGGAGTTTAAACACAAATTTGTAAGTTGAGCAACTGATTGCAGATTCTGTGGTGATTTTTTTGAGAACAGAAATTTGTTTACCTTGTGTCATGTGGAAACATGGGAATTACTGCCAAACTTGGAACTTTAGCTAGTATTTCTGCAAAGACCTCTTCCCATGTACACATCCTTCTGCAGCATCATTTGATGCTGGATGATACCATAGTACTAATGTGTATTTCACAGACTATTATCTGATACCAATACCTTGGCAAACCCATAAATTGCAAACCAACTTCTCAAAATCTCAAATGTTTTGACACTTGTGGTATCAAGCACAGATTCAACATTTATTCACAGCCATAGTCGTCAACCAAAACAAACCAGTCTTTCCCTTCTGCTTCAAAGAAATCAACTTATACCAATCTTATGACCAAATGAGGAAGGGTGAATCAGTTCCTCGCTCAACCTCTCCAGTTGGTCATAAAGTAGATTTTAAGTCATTTTTTAGCACACAGCTATAGCTTTGTCCAATTAACATGTAACTAACCATGTTCACCTGAAACAATAAGGAACCAAAATGCAAGGTTTTCTTGAAAGGGTATTTTTATTAACCGCCAAACCCGTGAAAAATAATAAAGATGCAACAAGAAGCATACAACCTCTGTAAAATCATGTGTGCCTTCACACAGGCACAGGCACAGGCACAGGGACAGGGTCAAACTTTAAAAGGGTATAAAAGAATACAGAGTTTAGAGTCTTTTGGCTGTCCTTGAGGTAAAAGTGTTAAACCTGTGGGTGGTAAGTTTATGTCTTGGACAATCAACTGTCGAGAATATTGCAGTTATCTATTGGGTCCTCAGAGTCATGATGCTTCTTTCCAATGAGTATTGTTATTATGTTTTTTTCTTTTTGAGAAACATTTTCTCCCTCTGACACCACTTTGTGTATGCTCAAAACAATTAATTGTAAAAAATATACTTCACTTGTTTAAAAAAAAACTATAAGGACATTCAAAAAGCTTCTCATTGTTGTATACAATCTTTCCAACAAGGAAGAATAAACACAAACAATATATTGGAATTTTATACCCCATAGACCTACCATGCAGTTGCATGTAACAAGGGCATTTTTAACTCATACGTGAAGAAAACATTTACATTTTCAGGCAACGAGGGGTTCTAACAACTGAACTTTCTCCCTTTATACTATGGCAGAAAGACCTTAGACAGTGTTTTTACCCCACTGCACCTTAACAGCAGCTGCCAAGCTTTAGTGCGTCCCTCAGCATGTAGTTCTGGACCTTGAAATGTGCCCGTCTGCACACTCAGTTGAGGTCTCTTTACACTGGAAAAGCAACAGGTTGAGCATCTTTCACAAAGTTGATGGTCCTTCAGCCATAATTGATGTTTGTCTCCGTGTACATCCTGGGGAACAGACTAAAGAACATAGAGTCTTGCAGCATGGAGCTGTCCAGGTCAAACATCAACAGAAATCACTGAAACTCTCTCCAGACCTTCTCTGCAAAGGCACATTCCAGGAGAAAGTGTGTAATAGTCTCTTGCCCACCCCTCACCCCAACCTCAGCTACTTTGAAGGCAGTGTGAAGTGATGGAGAGCCCAGATATACATGAAGGACCTGATGGGTACTGCCCTTCTCACCACCAGCCAAGCTACATCTTGGTACTTGCTGCAAAATTCTGGTGATGAGGCACTCTGCCAAATGACTGTGACAATCTGTTCAGGGAACCATGAAAATGAGATCCTCCCCCCATCTCCTTCTCCTGCAGGATCTCAAGGACATTACGTGCTGACTACTCCCTGATGGATTTGTGGTCAAAGGTGTTTTCCTTTGCAATTCTTTCCATGAGAAATGGATAATATGGAATCGTCCAACTACTTGGAGCATTTTACAGCAACAAGGCTATGCTCATCCTTTGTAACACCATAGGCAGGTAGAAACTCAGGACATAGTGACACTTGGTGTTTGCATACCCAGGGTCTATACACAACTCAGCACAGCTACACACAAAAGGTGGCTGTCAGGATGAGGACAGCATTGGGTAAAATCTTCACCCCGTTGTACAAAGCTCTGGATAGTGTCCCAGTGGACACGGTCCATCTTTGACCCCGGGATGAAGATGGCTTGGGTGACTGCTCAGGTTCGGGGAATGGGCCAGAACTTGTGCAACAACATTGACATTACCTCATGCCTGATAACCAGAGGGAACAATGCTCCCATAAGTCCAGTTTGTCTCCCCTTGGCAATAGGCTGCTCCAAAGCTTTTGTACACAACCCAGGCCCTCCGAACCATATATCCAGCACTTTCAGATAATCTGCTGTGTTGGTGAAGGGAATAAAAGATCAGTCACTCCAGTTTCTAAAGAATGTGGTCTTGCTGTTGCCTCGATTTACCTTGGCTGCCAAGCCCACTACAAACTGGTCACAGATGCTCCTGAGTCTGTGCACTGACAGTGGATGTAAGCAGAAACCGGTAACGTTATGCATGTACATGGAGGCTTTGACCTGCATTCTGCAAAGCCACACCATATAGATTCACTATATGCAGCCATTAATTGACATAAAAACCAGAAGAACTGCAGATGCTGTAAATCAAGAACAAAAACAGAAGTTGTGGGAGAAGCTCAGCAGGTCTGACAGCATCTATTAAGAAAAATCAGAGTTAACGTTCTGAGGAAGAGTTATCAGACCTGAAACGTTAACTCTGATTTTTCTTCACAGATGCTGCCAGACCTGCTGAGCTTTTCCAGCAACTTCTGTTTTTGTTCATAACTTTATTTACAGCTCCCCAAAAGAAACCGAGAGGCAGCTGTAATTTAGTAGAGTAACTGCAATTGTTTGCTAGGGCAGGACAAAAAGTGACTGCTTTTGTTCCCCAGTCCAAGTGAACAGCATTTTTTAAAGAGTAGAAAAGCAGAATACATTTCTCAAATGTGTGAAACTTGTAGGTATTAATGGTCAGAAGACTCAGTTGTGCTTCTTCAACTAACACAAAGTTAGCACGCATCTGCAGCAAGCAATTTGGAAAATATCAGCCAACTGTCTTAGATAACAAGGTGTAGAGCTGGATGAACACAGCAGGCCAAGAAGCATCGGAGGAGCAGGAAGGCTGACGTTTCTACACCTTATTATCTCAGATTCTCCAGCATCTGCAGTTCCTACTATCTCTCTCCAGCCAACTGTCTTCAACCTTTGTAATTGTTTTTATTTAAGAGTTTCAAATCAAGTTTCCCACCCTTCTTTTGTACTCTGTATAAGTCTTGAACAAGCTGTGGAATACCCGTATGGAGTATTTTTCTAAAGCTTCTTCATTATTTGCAATTAACTACCATCTTAATTAGTGTATCTGTAAACTTAAAAGCTATCTGAGGAGGGCATTCTTGACAAAGTACTTTGACAGTTGTAAAAGTAAATTTTGGTGCACTGAACTCCAAGAACATTTGCATTTGCAAATCTCACATGCAATACCTCAACTGGAAGACTTCATGATGTTTATTGATGAGAAATGTGTAAATTTAATATTCCTCCAAAATACCTTTCAGATATAAAATACAAAGTCAAAATATTCATAATAAATAAATTAAATCCCACTGGATCAACTTGAAATTGAAGCAATCTTTAATACTTGACTTTTTCCTGACATCAAATTAGAATTACAGATTCCAGTGTTACTACTAATAGCACAAATGTCTTCATTCAGTCCAGTGTCCTAAAAGATACAACCTCAGATTGAAACAAACAAAACAAATTGCTGGAGAAACTCAGTAGGTCAGGCAGCATCGATGGAGAGAAAACACAGTTAACGTTGAGTCCAATCACCTTTCTTTAAATAAAGGTTACTGGATTCAAAATGTTAACTCTGTTTTCTTTCCACAGATGCTGCCAACCTGCTGAGTTTCTGCAGCAATTTCCACTTGTTTATTTCAGATCTCTAGCATCCAGTTTTTGGTTTGATTTTACTCAAACTGAAACCTACTTGGGGAAAAAATGTATTCTGTTTTTCTTTCAACTTTTAAAAAGTCCAAATTGTAATGATTAAATCTGCTGCTGAAATGAGACATAATATAAATGATGCAGGTCTTATTTTTTGGGCAGGCTAAACAAAAGTAATGAACAGCATTAAACCAGAATATTCACTGCAAGGAAATTAGTGCCAAAAAAATCCAAGCCAAACTTTTGAACACTTTCTTCATGTAGATCATACAAAAACCATTTTACATATGTGCTAAAAACAGAATCCGTTTTAAAAGTTTTCAAAGTGCAAAGTAACAAACAGATTACATAAAATTACCAGGCTTTAAATAAAGAAGAACAGCAATCAAGTCTTTAAGAAATATGTGTAGAATTTAATATTCCTCCAAAATACCTTTCAGGTATAAAATACAAAGTCAAAATTAGAATCATACATCACAGCACATCCAAATATTATTTTATAGTGATTAAAATATATAAAAAGTAAAAAAAATTAAAAGTTAAACATCTATACATGTAAATATAACAATTAAAATATAGAGCAAAATGTCAAAACAATTGCAGATTGCTCTGCTAATTCAGAGACTTGTGGACACCTTTGGGCCATGTAATGTTAACGGATCTTTAATATCACCTCGTCCTCTCTTGTAGGGCTACTGATAGAAACTCACTCCAAAAGTACAGCGCATTAAACTAGGCCTGAATTATTACAGAAGTTCACACCTCCCATCAATCTATTGCTTTGTCATGTGGGATATGTTGCAAAATTCATGTTATTTCCTCCCAGACTCCTTCAAAAATCTGCTTCCTGATACCTCAAGGTCATGTGGGAAAATTCAACTCAAAATGGGACACAGAAATATATGTAAAAGATGGTTTGTTTGAGTAACTAAAAAAATTCCTCTTTCCATTCGACAATACCACAGTTTAGCAAAACCATGGACACTTAACTAGATAAAAACCGAAAGAACAGCACATGCTGCAAATCAGAAACAAAAATAGATGTTGCTGGAAAAGCTCAGCAGGTCTGGCAGTATCTGTGAAGAGAAATCAGAGTTAATTTTTTAGGTCTGGGTTTCGAGGAAGGATCATCGGACCCAAAACGTTAACTCTGATTTCTCTTCACAGATGCTGCCAGACCTGCTGAGCTTTTTTTAGCAACTTCTGTTTTTGTTTTTGACATTTATCTAGAGTTGTATTAGAGCTCTATAATGATCAAATATACTGTTTATTCATCTTTAATACTCTTTATTAATACATTCCAAACACTAAATAAAATACTACCTTCTCAACCTTCAGTTTAAAATCAATATACTATTCATAACACAGTGCAACACTAAGTTAGGCAGATCCAACTGGAGGTTAAACTTTTTGTGCTGAGATAACCAATTTATATGCTGCTACCATTAGCCTTAGCCTTTGGTCTAGGAAAAGAAAAGAAAAAAGTTTGCACTGCCATCCTGATAACTATTCAGAACTAATGGGCATGATGTAATTAGTATTTACCATTGTCCATAAATATAAAACCATAAATTCACCTCTTAAGGATGAAATCACAAATAGCACCTGCTACCATGCTGTTCATAATCAAATAGTGATGACATCCACTCATCTAGAATACTCATGAATAAAGTCAACTGGGAGAACTATTCGTGCCATAGAACTTCATCCTTGCAGCAGCATGTGTTTTCAGGGAGAAGTAGCTGAAAAAGGGAGACAACAAATTCAGGACATCCAAAGTGTTCTGATTCTCAGTGAATTTTGATGCAAGGTCAGTGACCTGAAACATTAATTCATTTCTCTCTACAGGCGCTTCCTAACCCACTATTTCCTGATGTTATTTCAGATTTCCAGCAACTGTGATATTTTGCTTTTGTAAAGAAATTTATACATTTGGTGAGATTTGATCAAAATTAATTGTTATTTGACACAGAAAAATAACTAATGGCAACTGAATGATTCAGCACTAAAATGCTCAAAGAAATTCCTCCTCTTACTGCTCAAGTTCAGAAAGAACATGAATGTTTTAAGGTAGAAAAGTCCCCAGTGAGTACTTTTTCAAAAATATAGCTATAAAATTCTTACTAAGTTACAAACGCATTTTTACTCAGCTACAAATCTGTACAAATAACTGTTCATTTGTAATGCAATGCATCACTACAATTATCATTCTGTCATTTTATTTTCGGACACGGAAGAATTCATTTCGGAGCCACTCTGTGTCCTCATACAATCGAGGGTCTCCAAGGCAGAGGGTAGTTCTTTTGTAGAAATAATAGTATAAAACAGAAGCTGGAGGGCGATAAAATCAGAACGGTTTCAGGTTAGTGCATTATGGAATTACATGAAATTGTCTACAAGATCAAGGCACCTGTAGAAACTCAAAGTTTTATCTCATAATTTTATATGCAGTGTTACGAAATCCCAGGTTCAGTTTCTGATCTATACTAAATTAATTGATCTGAGTTGATTTAAACTACTGATTACAGCCTCAACACTCTCCATTTAACCCATGAGAGTAGAGGCCAAATTATTCCTTATTGTCATTACAAAGTGCCAATGCAAACATCAGGAAAGGCAGAATTAAACCTATGTTCAGCTATGACGTCCTCCAAAGTCAAATACTTGAATTAATTACGGACTAGATTCAAGACTACTATTCTGAGCTACCATCACAAAGATGTTTGGTGATTTTGCAACTGTGCCAAAGCAGGAGTGAGAACGTTTGAGAAGAGAAAAGAAATAAGTATCAGGGAAGACCAGGAGCGGAAGTAATGCATATTTATGCAGCAACAGTTGTCACTAATGGAATTTTTTTACAATATGATTTCAAACTTTTGAACATGAATTCCAGTTGTCATTGTGGCAAGATGTGTTTTGGCTAGCTACAGACATAAGTGGGGAAGAAAGGGAGGGGTGAAGGAGAAGTGGGTTGCTGCAGTTAATCATTTATGGGACAAGCAGAGGCTCAGGAGCACAATGTCACGTTCTGGACTAGATCTTCCATGCAACAAGAGAAAAAATATATTTTTTAGAAAGGATATTATTAAGAAAAATAATGATCTGCATTGACTTTATCCAAACTATTTCTCAAATCAGCAAATATATTACTGTCAGGTAGCAGGAGATGATGGAAATTGGGTGAAGTATAACTTGAAAGGATTTCTAGAAAGAAAACTTGCCCCTGCTCCACTTTTCAATTCTTGGCGGTGCTATCCAGCACCTCACTCAGTTTCCTATTCTTTGTTACTAAGCAGCAGGTTTTTTAAAAATTACTATTCATGGGACATAGGCATTTGCTGGCTGGACCAGCATTTAGTGCCTATCCCTAGATGCCCTTGAGAAGGTAGTGATGAGCTGCCTTCTTGAACCCCTGCATTTCATGTATTGTGGATAGACCTATAACACTGCTCGGGAGTGAATTTAGCATAGTGACAGTGAAGGAATGGCGATAAATTTCTAAGTCAGGATGGTGAGTGGCTTGGTGGAGTACTTGCAGACAGTGGTGTTCCCATGTATCTGCTGCCCTTGTCCTTCTAGATTAAAGTGGTTGTGGATTTGGAAGGTGATGTCTGCATCTTTGGTGAATTTCTGCCGTGCATCTTGTAGATGGTGTACACTGCTGCTACTAATTGTCAGTGTGAAGTATTCTCATGCTCCCCTGTTCACAGAGCAAACATCTTTTCAAGAGTAGATTATAATCTAATATTTCTAAGGATGCATCACAGTCTAAAGGATGGGATGAGTGGACAGAGAACAAAAGGACAGAGATAACCAGGCAGGGCCAAAGAAAAGAGAAAGAGATATAAGCAGCAGCAGGGGACCAGACAATGAAGGAAGGAAGAAAAAGGATGAGGACAGGGAAAGAACTAGAAATGGCTGATGACAGGAAAAGACGAAGAATAGATGGAACACAAAAGAATGTGTGGAGGGTTTTATTTTGGTATATAGAATTTTGTTTGTGCATAAATAAAATGTAGCCCACCAACTGGTTTTGACACATGCATCTGACATTTAAATTGATAAAGTTGAATGTTCTAAGAAGACAAGGAAGAATTGTCAGAATGAATCAATTCCTGTACTACATTCTCAGAAATCTGACAGACTATTTAGATTTCGGAAGGAATTTTTGTAAGAAACATTTTGGAAACCATACACAGTGCACATTTGTCTATACCCTGCACTGCTTCACATAGCAACTTCTTCGATTTCAGTTTCAAACAAATAAAGCTTACAGAGTGGTACTCCACAGATTCAAAATCCAATTACCAGCTACTGGCAGGTAGCATCTTTTTCAATCTTTAATGCAAATTAAGAAATGTTAGCAATGCCAAATCAATGTGTACCTGACTGTTAAGAGGCCTTATGGCACAATGGTGGCTGTCCCTATGCCTGGGCCAGAAGGACTGAGCTCACGTCCATCTGCTCCAGTGGTTTGCCAATAACATGTCTGAACAGAGTGATTAAAAAATACACATACTTGCCTGCTACAGACAGTTCCCTGCCTCAGAAATAAACATCAGGATATTACTCCATGCCTTTGCCCAATCACATTTCTTAATGCTAATCATTAGGAATTATTCCCATTTAGGTCCATCTTTATCCATTTTATGATTCCACCACACTCCTGACAGCAAAGATAAAGTTGAAAATCTGCCAAATGAGGCATGATATGCCTATCCATTATATTGCCCTTTTTCATGCATTGGTAAATTAGCACTTTCCACAATGCTCTATTTATTTGGATCCACAGCGAGTTCACAGCCTCTTTTTTCCTATCATCAAATGATCTTCTGCAATATGATGTAATAGTGAATTTTGCAGAAGGTTTTGGAATTAAATATTAGTTTATGTCAAATAAGGTGTTTTCAGGAAGATGGGGCACTTGGCCTAAGCAAAAATGAGTTAAGGACCTAGGTTTCTTGCCCTCAAGACGGACATGTCTGTCCTCGACCTGCTACAGTTTTCCAGCGTAGACCAACACAAGCTGCAAGAACAACACTCCATTATATGCTAAGGTACATGCAGCCTTCTGGACACATTTACAACTTCAGACCATTAATTCTGTCCTTATTTTGCTTTGTTTTTACTTTCCCCCATCCATACAAGTGTCTGTAGCTTGTCTTCATGTTTTGCTTTCAGTCAGAACTGACTTTTATTCTGCTAGTAACACCTATTCTGGACTTTGGTTTGTCACTTCTCCAAAACAATTACCACTGTCTTTGTCTTTTTCCTCTATGACACCTTTGTTTTCTAAACTCACTAACTTTCCCTTCTTACTGTTCCCCCTTTTCTGACAGCATAAAACCCATCACATTTTCACGTCTCTTCATGAAGTGTCAGGACACAAAACATTAACATTGTTTCTCTCTGTACAGATGATTTCAGACCTGTGGAGTTTCTTCAACACTTTGGATTTTTATTTTCTAAATTGTTTGTCAATTTCCTCCAGGTGTGTGTGTGTGTGTGTTAGACATCTAAGTAATTTTGACAATATCAGAACAGTAACATACCCAACCGTTGGAAGACAAAAAGTGCTTGAAGTCCATTTGTCCACACGTACCCACGCATGTTCCACCATCGCAGATTCTGAGAGGAATAGGAATTAAAGCAGATATTAAAGGTGAGTAAGATTAAGCAGCTCATGGAAACTGTTTCCAGCAACACACACAGCCAATTTTAACCACTTGCAAACAGGTTTAGTAACACTTTTAAACAACCTGACACCCATGTATCACCTAATAAGATTAACAAGATACGCAAGCCAAATCCCTTTGACCTTCTTTCCCATCACATGCGTGACAAAAAGTAGGAACATCACCAACATCTGTGATGCTCAAATAAAGCCCAATGAAATTGCCTTTGCTCAGGGTCTTTTGCATCACATTTCATATTGTTAGCAAATTAAGCTTCCTATCAACCAAAACCTCCACCTTTTACATGCCAAATATGAAACTACATGGCCTAGGTCAACTATTAATTAAGAACAGAGAACAGTACAGGCCCTTTGGCCCATGATGTTGTGCCAACCTATTATCCTACTAAGATCAAACTACCCTACATTATATTATCATCCATGTGCCCATCGAAGAGTCGCTTAAAAGTCTCTAAAGTATCTGACTCCACTACCACTGCCAGCAGCGCATTCCACATGCCCACCACTCTCTGTGTATAGAACCACCTCTGACATCTCCCCATACCTTCCTCCAATCAGTTTAAAATTATGCCCCCTCATAACAGTCATTTCCACCCTATCTATGCCTCTCATCTTTTTATGATTATACTTACAAATAGAAATTGTGGCAGACAATATGTTCTTCGATGTTGTCCAAAGACATAAAGCGTATTAGATCAATGAGAATAGGTTAAAACTGAATGTCATTTCTTGACAATTAAAATAAATAGAATCAGCAAGATTCAATGGCTTACTAATGCAACAGAAATTAAAAGGATGTTCATAGATGAGCTGCAGCTATACTCCCAATCTTTTTAATGCCATCAGCCATGAATGACCGTGGAAAAGGAGGAATAAAAAAAAAACAAAGTGCATTTATTTAGTCCCTTTCATGACCTTAGCCAATAAGCTTAAATATAGGAAACAATGCCTCTCCTGGTTCCCCTCTAATTCTTTGTCTCCCATCATCTGTAACATGGTTCTCTGCTTCTCAAAACACATTTCCTCTTCTCATTTCTTTTGTGTGGTGGATACAACTTTAATAGTATCCTTCAAAATGGAGCTTAAAAAAAATCACAAGACAAATGTTATAGGCATATAGGGAAACAGCAGGGGAGTAAGACTAACTGGATTGCTCTTCAAAAGTGCTAGAATACATTCAATGGCTAAATAGCCTCTTTTGCACTTTCCAGGTTTATCTACTGCTGTTTGCACACCAAGGCTCCTGAGGTTTATCCATGCATGATAGAGTAACTATAAATTCCATCTGAAACATACACTTTCTTTAAACTGCCTGAATCAACAGCGACAGTGCTCCTATACAATCACTGGAAACAAAAATCCAGGCTAATCTCAAGCATTCAAACGATCAAGATGGATCTCAATGACTCACCAAGTCACTGTAAATAAATTTCTTCAGATCAAAAAGAAATTAAACAACTGAAACATATACACCTTGCATTACTATTGAATGGTGCACTTTCTTGATCCACCTTATTGTTACTATAATGTTTATACTATGTTGAAATGAAGAGACATTGTGTTATTTCTCAGTCTTTACCTCGACTTCAAAATTATTAAACACTCTAATCATTCTCTTATCCGACTACCTAAAAGGATTTAAAACCCAGCTAACATTTAATCACTTCTTTGTGATTTATCTCACCATCTCTCATACATTTTTCATCATAATTTCAGTGGTGCTCTGCACTAGCTACCTTGGTAGTTCATACAAGTTTCTCAATAAGATACATAGCTTTTCTATCATTTTATGAATAACTGATCCATGACAAATCAGGAATGTCCCAGGTTTGAACCCAAAGTCAATGCCAAATTAACTAATTTCAGCACACTGATCAGGAGCACAAAGCTAGTCAATGTTTCTTCATGATTGTCATCTAGCAACAACTGGAAGTGGAGTTATGTGAAGATGCCGCTGGATCTTGTGATGATTTCCTGCATGACACAGTAGCTTACCAACTTTTGCCATCTCAGATCGCATCCAAAACCAAAGATTTTGAGAATCCATGGATTTGTGACCAAGCAAAGAATTAACCCGCTCAAAGAAAAAAAAAATTTAGAAAATTGTTGGGAGGAGAAGTTTCCCAAATCTCAGTCATGATGCATGGGGTACAATTAAGCAGAAGCAGAACTTGCAGGTCAAGAGTTCAAAACATTAATTTGTTGTCAGCACAGATCAGGATGAGAACAGGTTGGCCTTTTCCATCTAATTGTGGGTAATAAAGAGCAGAAGAGGGAGGGGATTTTTAAAAAAATACATCTCAAACAAATGTCAGGAAGATAGTTTCATTTTCCCTCTGACGATACTGACTGTTATATCTATCTAGATATGATGTTGGCAGACGACTGGAGGGTAGCATTACATTGATGCCAGGCCAGACACCTACACATATAGATATCTTAACTGTCATTATTAATTATTGGAACTGTGGCTAATCTCCCTGTCAAGGGTCTTGAAAGCAACTGTAACACCAACTTGGTTCAGAACAGCCAGCTCACCATATACTTTTGTTTCATATTAGACATTGACTTACTCAAGAATCTCCAATGTTTTTTATCTTGAATAAAATAGCTTGTCATTTTAATATCCCCACTGTTTAAGAAAAGGTAACCATATTAACCACAAAAATTTAATGATGGAATTTTTCCCCCAACAATTGACACATCCTCCAAAAAAACAAATGAAATGTTGCATGGAATTACAATTTATCACATCTCAAATTACACATGCAATTAATTACTCAAGTGTAGTAATTTGTGTTATTCACTTCGATGCAATATCTGCAATTTCATCATGTAAAACTTGCATACCTGAATCCAAACATGAAAACTGACACTTAAAATGAAGTAAATGCCAGAAACAACAATGGTTCCAGTAAACCTATGAATCAGCAATTTGACCAAGCCAGCTTGAAAGATAAATGTGTTAAAAAACATTAGGAAGATGACGATGACATTGAAGAGGATTCCAACATCCTGAATACTGAAAAAGAGAAAAAAAAGAGATTTGGTTTAAAAGTTCCCAGACTAATTATAGCAGTTCCACAGTAACAAAGCCAATTAATGCATATTATTCATTTGAAAACAAATCAGCAGTTACCCACAGCTTCCTGAGTTTCTTCAGCAAGGTCTGTTTTTGTTTCAGCAAACACAGCATTTGAGTGCAATCAAATGGGTAAACACAGTGCCTCATGTATTACTGAGCCATTTACAGCAGGTTCCAGGTTAGCTTTACTGGTCTGTGCTGATCTCAGCTAGGGTAATATCTTAGGTGATATATAATTCAGCCCATTTCCACCAGTCCAGGAAGGGGAATGCAGCTATAGCAGAATTGGGTTAACGGTGATGCAATCTCCGAGAGAATAATCTGGTAACATTAATTACGTAGGTTTACATAAGATGAATGGCCATTCAGATGAGAAACAGGAAGCCATAATGAAACTAATTAATGCCTTTAAGAAAGTAGTAAATGTAAATTATTTAAACACAAATTACAATATATTTTCTAAGAGATTTATAAGTATGTAAATTTTAAGCTCATGAATAGTATTACATTAACCTGTGCAAGTTCTCCCACTCCAGTCATAATGTAATTAATCAAGATTGTACTCTCTAATACTACAAGGGCCATCTATGAGCAAACGAAGGAACTTTAAGAGGACAAAGTATTTTTTAAATTGAAAAATCCAAGATTATTACTTTCATTACCTAGCTGTTTGTTCCCCTCCAAGTTCTTTTTGCTTGGAAAAAAACGTAGTTTGATTTTAGCTCTCTACTTTCCGAAGCAATTGGTGCATTTTCTACTTACTAACCGTCACATTTGCACTGTTGTATGTTTTTAAATAACAAAGCCTATGTTAAGGCTCATTCGGCAGACCACTTGCCATCAATATTTGAATATCAAGAGGTGAAAGGGAGAGAGGAGCTTAAAACAATCAACATCAGAGAAACGATATTGGGAAAATTATTAAACCAGAAGGTTGACAAGGGCTGGATGGTCTGCCTCTTAAGGTTTTAAAAGCAGTGGCTACAAGAGATAGTCATAAGTGGTGGCTGCATCCGTTATAATCTTCCAAAATTTCGTAGATTGTGAAAAGATCCCAGTAGGGTCAAAAATAGTAAATGTAATCATTCATGAAAGGAGGAAGACAGAAAGATGAATACAATAGACAAATTAACCTAATACCTATCATAAGGAAACTGATAGAATCCATTAAGGTTATAGCGCAAAATTTTAAAAAATCATAATGAAATCAATTGGGAGTCAACATGGTTTTAACAATTTATTACAATTATTTGAGGAAATTATAAATTAGATAGAAAAGGGGTAACCTGTAGATCGTGCTGTACTTGAATTTCCAAAAGGCATCTGATAAGGTGCCACACCAAAGGATGCTAAACAAACTAAGAACTCACAGTTCAGGGGTAAAATATTAACAATGGACAGATGATTGGCAACTTAACAAAGGGAGAAAGTCAAATACAGGCAAATGGTATTTGTTTAGTTTAGGAAACCTGGTCCTAACCTGAACAAGTTAGGAGCAAGGGCTTGATAAAGCAGAGTCGGGATAAATTAGTCAATTTTGGATTTGCATGTTGTAACTAGCCACAGGGATCAGTGTTGGGGCCTCAATCATTTACAATCAAAATCAATGACTTAGATGAGGAGACAGAACACATGGTAGCTAAGTTTGCCAGGAAAGTAAGTTCTTATGATGAGGCGAGGAGGAGTGATTGACTCCCCTCTTTTATCACCCGCTCTCAGTCAGTTGCAACTAATACTTTTGTTTCTGTCTCATACCTACCTATAACAATTCAACCAAACTTATGTAATTAGATCAAAAGTAAAGGAGTGCCTATGCCATGGTTTCCTTCAATAAAAGAGTTTTATTACTTACTAAATGTGAGAAAACTAACAAAAAGCTGCATCTGATAAATGCACATAGTCAGTTGAGGGGTTCTATAATAGCTTCTTGCCTAAGTCCAGGCTGCTGCAATTCAAAAGTCGTAAGTGTGAAATTAGAATCCCAAAGGTTTTTGATCTGTTTCCTCAGCAGTGGTGAAATGTGAAGGTAACTGATTTCTTAGGGAATGGTGATTTTCCAAAGTTGCTTTTTCACCAGCTTTGATTTCTGAGATTAAGACAGGGAAAGAAGAACTTTCTCTCTCTTTTGTTTGTCAAAGCAAGCTATTGAAGTATGAGATAACAAGGTGTAGAGTTAGATGAACACAGC